CCCAGCTGCTGCAGCAGGTGCCCGGCAGACCCGACGGGGCCCTGAAGACCATCGCGAGCTACACCCCGGGCCCGCAGCCGCTCCCCGTCACTCAACAGGCTGGGCGGTGCCAGTGAGGATGGCAAGAGGCCCCAGCAGCCCTGGCATGTCGGGTAAGGAGCGGCCGGCGGGCGGGCTCCTGTGGGGACCACGGAGAGGAAGACCTCGGGACACCAGGGACCCTGGTTTCTGGGACTTGGCACGGGACCAGAGCTTGAGCAGGACACCTGTTTTATTCCAATCAGGACGTTGAGAACACTTTCAAACCAGAGTCCTGCCCACTGCCCCGCCTCGCCTCAGACAGCCTCCTGGAGCAGTGGGCACGCAGCCGCTGCTCAGGGCAGGTGTGGGGGGCCCAGCTGGGCTCCTGGGGTGGCTTGGGGCCGCCGCTGGTGTTTGGGGCCCGTTTCCTTTCCTTGTGCACTGGCTTCTGGGTCTTAAAAGCAAAGTGTGGATAGAGAGAACTCAGGGCACCAGCCTGTCCTGGGGGGGAGAGTTCCTCCAGAGCTGCGTCATGCGGATGCGCCTTAGCCAAGGTGATGGTCGCGTGCACAGCTGAGTCTCCGAGGGGCCGCGTGTGGGCACTGGAACCCGACAGATGCCCCCAGCCATGGTAACAGCCCTGGCTGGTCCCACTGTGTCCACACACGAGGCAGGTGCAGGGAGGGCATCTCGGCAAACTCCGAAGCAGCCCAGGGGGTGGGAACCCCATTCTTGTCCCTTTTGGAGACAGGGCAGACTGAGTGTGGACCCCTCGGGCGTCTGACTCAGGTTCTGGGCCCTCCCCACACCCCCCGTCTCCCACCAGAGATGGGAGCCGTACCCGCAGCTCCCAGACAGGCTCTCCCACTTCTCCTGTGGCTTTCAGGGTTTTTCAGGCCAGGATGAGACTTCCTGGGGAGGGGTGGGGTTGGGCTCGTTGCCTGGGCCTCGGGGGGCCGGGTTCAGGGCTGATTGGAGCAGACAACGCAGCAACCGTCTCTGTCAGCGCTGGTCCCCCCTCTGCGATCTCACATGCGCCCAGGAGCTGCTCCGTTCCCCAGTGTCTCTGGGAGGCTGGCCCTGCGTGCTCCCATCTCACAGTTGAGAAGACTGAGGCCTGTGGTGTGGCTGGGGCCGGACCCTGGTCCCTGCGTCTGCGACATGGTGGTCATGAGGCTTGTGCTTCTCGAACTCTGTCCTCACCCGTGGTGGCCCAGAGTGAGCCAGCACTCCTGTGAGTCCCGGCTGGCACAGTGTATGGGGTGACAGCACTCTGCAGGGGACCTGGTTCCCTGTCCCCCCTTGCTTTGTTCCCTTGGGCTCGCTGTGCCAGCCTGCGGTGAGTGTGGCTGGCCGTGGTCGTTCCTGACGCCCTGCCCCCAGCTCAGAGAGGGGATGGTGGGGCGGGGGCTCAGGCTGGGGGAAGGGGTCAGTGCTTCACGTGGCCCTGGAAGAGGGCCACGTGTGCGCCTGTGAGCAGCAGGCCAGGTGTCCGGGCTGCAGCCTTGAGGTCGTGGGGAGAGTGTGCCGTGGGAACCCCAGTCCCTGGCCGCGGCCGGGCCCCCTCGCTGCCCTGCCGCCCCAGGCCCGCGTCCGTGCTTGAGCCCGCCGAGGCTGCCCCTCCGCCCCAGCAGCTCGTTCTCAGACCACGAGAACCCGTGCTTGTCTCTGGTCTAGATTCTCGCTTGGAGTCGCCCCAAGGGAGAAGCCCCAGGTGCCAGCGAGCAGCTTAAAGCTAAATTAAAGGGTCCCCTGAGGCCTCAAGTTCCACTTCACACCGTTAGCTAGAATTAGGGCTGTACGTTTAAACAGAGTGTGTCCCCTCCCTCGGGTGTGGAATCTAGTAAGATACCCAAGGCAGGGTGGCCGGGGACTTGCAAAAGCTGCAGACAAACCATTGCTGGAGAAGAGACAGAGCACCTGGCGCACTGCGGGGACCGCCGTGTCTGACTGCCCTGTTGTCCCGCGCCGGGCTGTGTGCTGTCTGCGTGGTGCACGTGTGTGTGCGTGTGTGCGTACATGGACTTGTGTGTACCTCCGTGTGTGTGCGTGCACTCGTGTATCCCTGTGTGCATGTGTGTGTGCGCATGTGTGGCACGTGCACACACGTGCGTGTGAGGCAGGCACAGCGCCCAGCCTGTCCTGAGTGCTTGCGACCAGGGCTTCCTAGGCACGTGCTCTGGACCCCACGTGGGCCAATCACTCGACACTTTGTGCCTCATCTCTGGTGACTGTGAAACAAGGATCATAAGAAACCCGCTCCTGGGGTTGCCTGCAGGGCTGGAGGGGTGAAGTCATGGCAGTGCCTTGCTCAGTCCACAGCAGCCTATAGACGGAGCCCAGGTCTGCGTCCACCCCGAGGCCGGGTGCCTGGCCAGGCCCGTTCCATGTTCCCCAGGCTGCGGTTTGCCTGGGGCTGAGGGGTTGGTTGCCCCGGATGCGAGACTTCCAGTGCTGGCACCTGCCCAGCCAGCACCCACCCTGTCCGGGGGCCCCCGACTGTCAGCCCCGCCTTCTCTGCTGTTTGCCCACCTCCTTCCCTCCACACCCGTCCAGGCCCTCCCATCCCACGTCCGTCTGCTCAGGATCCCGCTCCCTTGTCAGGGACAGTAGCTGCGCCAAGACAGGAGCCCTGTGGGCTGCTGGGGTCCTTCCCCCAAGACTGCTCCTCTGTCCTAACGGGGACCTGCCAGGCGCACTGACTGCCCCAGCACACCAGGATAACGGTGGCATTTAAGCCACATGCAGGCCGTCTGCTTCCTGGCCTTTCATACCCGCGAGCAGGCATGGAAGGGACCCTACACCTCAGGCCGTGACAGGAGGCAGGGTGCCTGCACTCAGGGCCCCATCGCCCAGCCCCCAGGCCTTCTGGGGGCTCAAGGAGGTGGCTGAACTCTCCATCCCGTCTCTGTCTGCACAGCTCAGAGCCCAGCCTCTTCCTGGGACAGATGGGGACACCTCCAGGGGGGACACTGCCGCCAGCCTCAGAGTGGCCCAGGGCGCTTCCAGAGCCCTTTCCGGTTATCAGTGAGCCCGCAGGGGTGACGATGCTCTGCAGTAATGGAGGGGGAGCCCCGTGTTGTGCACACCCTCTGTCGGCGGATCCTGTCTCCGTGGGTAGCCACCCCTACGGCCCATCGCCCAAGCGGACCCTGTGCCACATGGCCCATTGCATCCAACTCTGCCTCCTACCTGCTGTGTGACTTCAGGCAAGTCACTTGACTGCTCTGTGCCTCCGCTTTCTCATATGTTAAAAGGAACCAATAGGTTTGTGATGAGGTTGAAGTGGAATTAGTGCCCCTCGTGTGCTGAGACCCGTGTCTCGCTCACAGGAAGTTCCGCAGGTGTGTTGGCTAGTGGTCACCACCGTCAAGGACGTCTTGAAAGACCCTCTGGCCACTGTGGGGCAGGCGGGGGAGGGTGTCGGGTGCCACCCTCTATGCTGCGGGCAGGGTCATCAGTAACCAGCTGGCCTTCGTGCAGGCAGAAGAAGTCGGGGGTCCAGAGAGCCTGGGAACCCATGTGCCTGCAGCCCCTCCCCCGGTGCCCTGCTGCAGGTGGAGGCCTCGCACACACCTGCCTGAGACGCCCTCTAGTGGCGCCCACTGGCATGGCTGGTCCGTGTCCCCGAGAATCAGCCCAAGAAGGGGTTTTGTGGGGAACACTGGCCCCACTGCCCACCACCCACGTGTGGAGAGGAGTGAGGGCCGTCCTGGGACCCCTCCCAGCTACCCTGGGGGCTGACTGATTCTCATCAGGTTCAGAACAGCTCTTGACGTATTTTTTGCAAAGCTCTGGCAGCTGGTCCCTAAGGCTGCCCTGGCCTCGCCAGCAGCAGGGAGCTGGGGGCCACCTCTCATCAAAGGGGCAGGGGCTGAGCTGGGCAGGCTCAGGTAAGGTGGGGGCAGGTGGGTCCAGGTTCCAGTGCGGGGACTGGGCCATCCCAGGAGGTCCAGCTTGTACCCATGGCCCCGCTGGGGGAGGGTGACACCAGCACCGTGGGCCCGAGTAGCAGCTGTACCTCCCCGGGCACCTCGGGAAGGAACGTTCCCCGGGAAGCAAGCCTCCCGCAGCCCAGAGCATAGAACCTTGAGGTGGAGCCGCGAACTCCAGAGTCCCAGCCCCGGCCCC